GAGAAGTGTATTGTATAAACAGCATGCAGTCCTTCCCTAAACAAACCATGGAAGAGCTGCCAAATGGGCACCAGGAATGCCTTTTAATTAACAGACAGCTCTTAGGTGGGCGTGTTAACATCTGTGGACCTGGCCAGGAAGACAAGCTGCCCATTGTAGCAGCAAATCCAAGAAAGCAGCAAAGCAGCTGTGGACACACGGAGCAGCCGCTAATCCAGAACCAAGAGCTTATTTTGTTTGACCCCATCAGACGTACAGTCAGTGGGTAAACTGTCAGTAATGGAAAATGAAGAGAATCGTCTCACTTGTATAACTCAGTCCATGCTGTAGAAGTAATTCCAATGCTGAGCACTGGAAATAAAGTATTGCCTGACTCCGCCCGGGATAAGGAGAAGAGACTGGATGAGGACCAAAGGAGAGGCAAGACTTTAAGAATGTCACAGTCATATTTACTTGACCAGATCCAGTGTGCGGTGCCTGCCGAGCCTGAGGGTTAGTCTTCTCTGGTGAAGATGTCTGTTGGTGCTCAGTCAAGGCGAGACAGTAAATGGGAGAGATGGGTTTGGAAACAGTGCAGGGAGTTCAGCTTTAGTCTTTGAACCTGAAAAGCCTGAAGGTCTCCACAAACTGGCAAGAGCAATGAGTGGCTTGAAATGTAGCTCTGGAGCTCAGGGGAGATGGGCTGGAAGGAGACTGTGTGTCATCAGAGTCTGGGATACTGCAGGATGATAGGAGATGCTTCTGTATGTTCATGCACAGTAAAACAAGATGCCTTCCGTTTGAATCCTAAAGACGCATTGCTGTATATGCTCTATAAAGACTGTATTCATACTTGTTAATATGTAAGGGCTCTGTGCTGTTTGTAATAATAGGAAGTGATAAGAGCATTCATAGTCTTAAATGCCAAAGATAATGTTATTGTTGTCTTAATTGCTGTCCATTGCTAAAAATAGGGCTTTGCTTAAAAGAAACTATATAGTTTGGTAGTTAGGAAGGCATTAGTAAAAAACAAAAAGTAAAATAACTAGAAACAACCTGTGGTAGTTTGAATGTAATTGGCCCCAATAAGCTCACAGGAAGTGGCAGTATTAGGAGGTGTGCCTTTGTTGGAGTAGGTGTGGTCTTGTTAGAGGAAGTGCATCACTATGGGGTGGGCTTTGATGTTTCATATGTTCAAGCTTCACTCAGTATGACACTCAGACTACTTCCTGTTGCCTGTGGGTTCAAGGTGTAGTTCCTTTTCCACTCTCAGCTCCTTCTCCAGCACCATGTCTGCCTTCATGTCACCATGTTACACTGTGATGATAATGGACTAAACCCATAAGCCACTCAATTAAATCTTTTCCTTTATAAGAGTTGCTGTGGTGATGGTGTCTCTTCACAGCAATAGAAACACTAAGAAACAACCTGAATGTCCACCAGCAAGAGAATAGATAAAACAGTTATATAGCTTCATAATACGAATACTCAGCATGTAAAGTATGATGATTAGTGTTGTACTTCATAGCATAGATCAAGCCTAAAAACATCGTGCTGAATTACAACAACAAAAAGTCATGCATTAAAAATGCATAACTAGGGGCTGGAGAGATGGCTCAGAAGTTAAGCGCATCTGTTGTTCTTCAAAAGACCCATGTTTGGTTTCTAGTACCCATATAGTGGCTCATAACTGTAGTGACTCCAGTTCCAGGGGTTACAATGCCCTCTTCAGGTCTCTGCAGATACTGCGTGAATATGGTGCACATGTACACACCTAGATACTAATATAAATATATTTTAAGATGCATACTATATAATTCCATAACTATGATGGCCAAGAATAAGCAAAATTAGTATATGGGTGATAAAAGTCAATGAAAATGTCTCTGGGAGTTGATGTTGTGATTGGTAGATTCAGCAATAAGGAGCACAGGAGACATTTCCAGTGTGAAGAAATATTCTTTATCTCTCTTAAAGCTACTTATAGCAGCCAGAGCTCACTGAGTTGAAAATGCATGATCTATGCATACAAAAAAGTTATTGATCAAAAATGAGATTGTTGTCGGGCAATGGTGGTACACACCTTTAGTCACAGTACTTGGGAGGCAGAGGCAGAGGCAGGCAGATATCTGGGTTTGAGGCCAACCTGGTCTATAGAGTGAGCTCTAGGAACCCAGAGAAACCCTGTCTTGAGAAACAAAGAAACAAACAGCAAAAAAGTTTGTCAATCACTGAATGTACTTCCTTCCAAAACATCCCACCGAGTTTCAGAGTCATCTCTTCCTTCACAACATCAAATGTCCGCCCAGAGACCCGTGACAACATTTCCAGAGCAGGAGACTACATCTGCAGTAGAAGATTCAATGTGCACAGGAAATGGAATTCCTGGTAGAACTCAGTCCTCACTACAGAGACTCTATGATGTTCGAGAACTGGTGACAAAGTTGGGGCAGGTTTTAAAGGAGGAGAGTTATTTGAAATTATATGGAAAAGTAGGTAAATACTTTGATCTGTACCCCTGGGTCTATACCTGGGTAATGTATTCCCTCCCACCAGCAAAATGTAAATTCATCCCCAAAGAAGCTAAGGTCCTACGCACAGCTGAAAGTGTGTACGCATCTGTTGGAAACAGGGCCAACATGACAAGTCTGCCTACATTCTGAATATTAATGTCTCCAGGTCTTCTGTAGTGCTTGGCTCCAGAACAGTAGAAAACATACTACAGAGGGGTCCCAATTTTAAGAAATAACTGGAACTGAGAGACATCTATCCAAGGGATTCACGTTCTAACAGGGTTTAGATAGTTGGAGATATTTGAAATAAACACAAGAATATTAAGTAAACAAGCCATATGCACATTAATTCTAGGGACACTGAAAAGTTGAAAATGAAAGGGAAATTATTCAAGTATGATACATGTGGGGATAGAGTTTTATGGCCATAATAAATATCAAGTATAGATTCACCAAAAATGTGTGATCCTGTTGTTATCTATCATGACACGGGTGACCTTGGCACCACCTTGGGAGACCACCGTGGGTGAGAAGCAGGTGGAAACACCATCTTGGGTATAGAGTTAATTTAGTGGAGAGGAGAAAGAGGAGAGAACGAGAAGAAAGAAGGGGAGAAGGGAGAGAGACAGAAGCTGCCTCTTCAGGTGAAGTACAGACACACACGGGGGGGGGGGGGGGGGGGGGGGGAGATTTGCCTGCCTTGGCAGGAAGTGGGAGACTGGGAGTGGGCGGGGCTTGTCTCTTCCACAGGTGAGAGGGCAGACCAGCAGATTACTACACCAATAACACTATATGTGGATCAGGCAAAGGGTGGGGGATGGGGGTATAGAGAGGGAAAGAAAACGAATCGTCAGCTTCTAAAGAACAAATTCAATACAGAATTAACCAAACTGGGAGGTCGTGAAATCATGGTACGAAAATGGTTTTGGAGATAAATGCCAAATGCAAGAGTTACAAGAGCTGCCAGAAGAGCGGTACAGATACAGGAGTGACAAGTGACTCTTACTCCCCACGCAAACTTTAAAAAAAAAAAAAAAAAAAAAGAATTAACACAAAATAATAAAAGTGTTGGCCAAGAGTTTTCAGGGAATCAAGACTTAAAAAACGAATGAAGATGGAAGCTGTTCTCAGCAGTTAAGAAGTAAAAGGGTGAGGAATGCCAGGACACTGTAAACCAAGGTGAGAGCCGGGATTGGAGGACTTGGTACCCTGCTTGTTCATCAGAATTAGAATGGGCTCCAAGAGGCAAACAGAGGAGAGAATTTGAAGCAGAAACAAGGTCAAAGAGTTCGTTTTGAAAAACAAAAGGACCGTCTTTCCCTTGGAGTAGCCAGAGCAGCAAGGTAAACAAACAGGAGAAACATTTTAAGACAAAGGAAAGGAAAATTACAAGAATGCAGGCCTGCTAGCGTCCACTTTTTCCTTCCCAGTCAGCGGAGGTAGAACTGAAGCTTTGGTGGTCTAGAGCCACGTGGGGGAAGCGGGGACGGGCGGGAACAGGGGGCTGGAAGAAATTCTGCTGGGTAGCAGTTTTGAGAGTCTAGCTGAGGGTGGAAACCAACTTTATTAGTTGGCACATGCTGCCACCACAGAATACCAGCTACTGGACAGCTTAACGGTGGGTTACTTTTCGCAATTCAAGAATTTGGTTGTTGATGACCTCCTTCCTAGAGACCTCTGTCTCCCCACGTGCTGAAGCAGGAGAGCGCATGCGGGCACCCTGTGACTTCTCTTACATGGACGCTAATCCCAGGGGGTCAGCTTTTCTCCCTTATGGCCTTACTTGACCTTGGTGACATTTTTTTTTTAAATGGGCAGTCCATATACGGCAGTTCTGCTGAACTTGTCCATTTTGGGTTTCATAGTCTAAGTTGTTAATGACTCACCAGGTCTCTTCCTCAAGAGAGCTCCAGATCTCATTACAGATGGTTGTGAGCCACCATGTGGTTGATGGGAATTGAACTCAGAACCTTTGGAAAAGCAGGCAGTTCTCTTAACCGCTGAATTCAGTGACGTGGGGTGATGGCTTCAACATACAGGTTTGTGGGAAGACGGAGCGTGAATCACTCACTGTGGTGTGAATTGTTTTCCCATGTGTAATCACTGCTACAGAGCAGGAGCGAAGACAAAAATAAAAGCGTGCCTGAGGGGATCTGTAACAGGACAGGCTCGACAGAGCGGGCAGTGGACAATGAGGATGGACCAGGTGAAAGGATGGTTAAAATTGTCCTGCGCATGCGCGGTTTCTAAGAAAAGGAGGAGGCAGGAAGCGCCTGGGTTTAGAGCAGGAAAGGGCTGGGGATCGGAAGGCTCTCTGATCAGAAGATAGAGAACGCATTGAAACGATCTTAAATCATTCAGTAGCACACTTTCTGGAGACGCTGCAATGCCCTGCAACATAACTGGTTGATTCTACGCTTTCAAGTTTACCGAAAGTAAAGAAAGGTTAGCAGACTAGGAGAAAGGTATGCACCCTTAGTAAATCATCACATTTTCCTTTTTTTTTAGACGACTTAATACGTTGAACAAGTGCGCCTCAATGAGACTTGATGTGAACTTCCAAAGGAAAAAGGTGGGTGCGCCTCTCAGAGACCCTGACCACACCAACAGAGCAGCCTGTATTCACAGACTGGAAAAACATGCGGGGCTTGGAGAGCTGGCTCAGTGGTTAAGAGCACTTGCTGCTCTTCCAGAATGTGGGAGTTTAGTTCCCAGCACACGTGCGATTGCCAGCAACTTCAGGTCCAGGGGATCTCATGCTCTCTTCTGGCCTCCGTGGATGTGTGAACGCATGCGTGTACACATACACACCAGCACACACGCAAGTCTTGGAAGAAAGGAAGGGAGGGAGGCAGGAAGGCAGGAAAGAAAGAAAGAAAGAAAGAAAGAAAGAAAGAAAGAAAGCAAGCATTGAACCAAGGAAAAATTCTGACATGCCCACCTATTTTAAAAACAACCGAGAATGACCTTGGCAGGTTTGAGCCAAAGGGTCCCACGCCCTGCAAACAGTGCTCACATGGAGAGTTTTATTGGGAGGGGAGAAAAAGAAAGTGTAGGGGAGCATGAGAAGGGGGGAGGGGAAGGGGAGAGGAAGAGGGAGGGAGGGAGGGAGGGAGGGAGGGAGGGAGGGAGGGAGGGAGGGGGCGGAGCCCACTATTAAAGGGGGCTTGGCACGATGTACAAGCTGGCTTTGCAAAGGGAAGCGGGACACTGTAGGATGACATTGTCAGGACCCTGAACTGGCCAAGGTACTGCCTGCTTACTGGCAAGGTTCCTAAGGGGCCTGGCCAGGTTATGATTAAATTCTAACACACCCCACCATCTGTTTCCTTTCCAAATATCCCATCTTATTCCCACTATCGTGAATAAGTCTGTCATAAGATCATACGGAGAGGTGGATTTGGCAATTTCACTGTTTTGGCTTGCTTTAGCAGTTTGGTTGTTGTTGTTTTTTATCAAAAGGTTTGGGCGAAGAAATAAATATGTCAGTTCTTTGGCATCCCCTTTCAGAAGGGTGGCAGCTGTGACTGTCAGCCCACGTGTGACTCCAGGTACTCCGAAGCGATCAGTGGATTAAGAGATTCAGGGAAGGGCTGATGGGCCCATACCATGTAGCTTCCAGCTGGTTCTAGTCCATTTTCTTTTAAGTACACGTAAAAGATGTGTCTGTTGTTTGGCAGATTCATTTGGCAGTGGGGGTACAGGAGTTGGGGGACAGTGAGACTCCAGGCCACTCTCCCCCACTTTAACAGTTACTACGATCCCTGCTTCTCACAGGACATCTTGCAGACTGTTCTCTTCATTTGTACAAGAGTGGACATTTCAGTTTGGAAATGAAGCGGCAAAGCTGGGGGTGTGGCTCGGTAGCTGAGCACTTGTGTACAATATTCTGGGCCCAAGATTTAGTTGGATGCAGTACAGAAAGAACAAAAGAAGAGAAAGATGAAGGAGGAGAGGGAAGGGGAGAAAGGAACGATAGATTTAGCATCCATAAGGAATTCAAAATCAATAAAGTCCAAAATCCCTTTTTGTTTTTTGGGTTTTGGTTTTTTGTTTGCTTGTTTGTTTGTTTGTTTTTGGAGTTTTTTTGTCTAAGTTTTTAGAGACAGAGTTTCATGCAGCTAGCCTTGAACTTGCAGTGTAATCAAGGCGGCTTTGAATTCCTGATCCTCCTGCCTCGCTTCCCAAGTGCTGAGATGACAGATGTGAACCAATACTTAGAAAATCTAAATTGTTCAAGTAGGCTTATGACCATCAAAAGTTTTGGATTTCAGGCAGGAATGGATTCCATAGTTTCTGACTAAGCAATAAAGCCAATGAGGACATTCCAAAATCAAATACAACCCAAGTCCAACATGCCAAACACTCCTGGACCTGAGCATTGTGGGTAAGAAAATGCGCTTCATTGATGACCAACATCTAGGGACTCTGCTTATTACATTATCTCATTCACCTGGAGCTTCTCTGCGGTCTGCACAAAGAAATTAAGCCTGGCACGTGCTCAGAGCCCCCGGGAGAGTCACGCGGCTGGCTTATGACCTCAAGAGTGTCCTTTGGCGCACGCCTTTAATCCCGGCACTCGGGAGGCAGAGGCAGGTGCATCTCTGGGAGTTCAAGGCCAGCCTGGTCTACAAGAGCTAGTTCCGCCGACAGGCACCAAAACTACAGAGAAACCCTGTCTCGAAAAACCAAAAAAAAAAAAAAAAGTGTCCTTAGGAGGAACTTATTTCCCTAACCAAGGCTCCGCCTCCCTGCCTTGCTCTGTCTCCAACCTCACTAACTTGAAAGTTCAGGATTAAATCACAGAGAACTTTTTTTCATGTTGTGTCTCCATGTGTAGTCAGTCGAATCTGGGGTTGTTTTTGAAGCAAAGAGAGTGTCCTTTATTCAGGCTTGCACGGAGCAACAATTACCCCTAATGCATTTCAACTTATCCTGGAGTTCCCTAGCCCTTCAAAACCAACCCCCCCAGGTTTCTACTCAGAGGCAGCGCCCCTCAAAGACTCTCGACTTCACCTTAAAAACAGTTTGGAACCAAGGATTTCAGCTGAGGAGGTAGAAGAGTGGAAAACAATATCCAGAGTGATATTCAAACATGAGGGAGTTATTCAGGCCACAGAGAAATCGGAAATGTGGGAACAGACCTCCCGACAGCTGCCTGGCCAAGTAGACCCCTTGAGAAGTGCCCTTACTATTTGAAGCATGCGAGTCAGATGTTGTTTTGATTATAACACATGGTTCTTATTAAACCGCACACAGCCCTTCTCGTGAGTCTAAAACAAGGGTCCTTGGTGGCTGGCCTGTGCAAATCTCTCACAAAAGAGACTGTCACCAACTAATGGCACTCGCTGTTTCCCACAATGTGAAGTGATGGGATTTTTGCTGTCATCTGCTTTTCAGACCCCTCAGGCAGGATAGCCATGATGACATTCTCCGGGCTCTCCGTGCAGCCTACACAAAAGCCGCTCTCTCAATTCGATACCTTGGTATTCTGGCAGGCTTGGGACATTTCTTGTGTGAGCCGCAGTGGTGCATGCCCATTCGCTCCCCGCTTAGTCACGGAAACCTCACAAATACGTGCATGTGAATCAAATAGCAAATTAAAGACTCATAGGCTGAGTTTCCAAATAAAAACATTCCAACATGTGGTCTCCCCTCACTTGTCAGTCTCAATCCTGGCTACCATGCTGGACGGCAGGGCCCCGTTCTGAGATCCAGCCCTGACATAAACTGTAGCCTGGTCCTTTGTTTTATAATCAAACAAAAACACTTTTTTGACTAGAGACTGGGACTAAGCCAAATGATATGGCGGGGGGTGGGGGGCGAGAGGGGGAGGGAGACTCAAGAATCTAGTGCCCATGGAGCTCCAGCTACCTTTAGACATAGAAAGTGAGTGGCAACAAGAATCAAGGTGCTGAGACAACAGTGTCCCGTGGCTGTCCTCTTTTTCAAGAAATCTATGAAACAGACTCTTCATCTTCAATCTGCAAGAGTCATTGACTTGAATTGTATGGTCCATACATACCTCAGCCATCCACGGCCACACTACTCTCTTGGAGGTGGTTGGACCTATGGGAAGGCTCTGTGGGCTTGCATGGCAGCCAGGGTGACTAGCTAATACTGACATGGTACCTCTCTGGAAGGTCCTGTGCTCCATGTTAAAGATGAACAAACTCAGCAGGTCAGTCAGTTGCCCCCAAACCACACACACATAAAAAAACAGGATGAGATTTGAACCCAACCACTTCTTCACCTTTTCGAAGATTTTGGGAATTATTCTGGACCCTAAATGCGTGTCAGTCCCTTGGCCTAAGGCATACAGGCAATGCCCTGTTCTTACCACAGATGCGTGTCTTGCTGTCAATACGAAGGTCCACAGTTTATTGTGCCTGTCTGTGGAAATTAAGTTTGAAGATTCAATGAGCTGAGCCAAGGGATGAAAATAGAAGTCCGAAAATAAATGACGGTACTGAAGCTGGGTTCCTGTTTGGCTTGGTGTCTGTTCTGCTTATGTACACGTCACATGACCCCTGCCCTCATGTGGCGGGCTCTTGACCCTCACTGTACCTGAGCTACAGACTCACCAGAACCCTAATGAGAGGTGTTTCTAAAATGGGGACTCTCCAGCAGTTGGACTGGTTCCTAAGCCTACCCACCCACCAAGTTCATGGAAGCCGCATCTTGAGCTTCTAAATGTTTGTACAACTGTGAACTATCCTCCTGTCCCAGCTGCAGATGTGTGTGGCTCCCCTAACCTGTTTTGTTTTGTTTTTATAAAAAAAAAACCCATTTCTCAGTTTCCAGTGGCATCCATGCCTAAGGAATATGTAATTTTAGTAAACAATGTTCTCATTTAGAAAAAAAGCCAAACACAGGAGGCTCGTCCAAACTAAAAACAAGGCAAAGCCAAGTTCCCTGTTCTTGGACAAATGTCACTGCGGACCAATCCATGCTAGCATCATAAAGACACTGAATGGCCCTGGGTGGCCTGTGAGGGAACAAGTTCTCCAGAGGAAGGCACCCACTAAAGTTAGCACTTTAGTAAGACTCTAAATCCTGACCAAAGGTGGAAAGCCACGCAGAAACCATGAGTAAAACCTTCGGGCCAGAACCTCCCCACCTGGATGCCAAGGGCATTACTGAATTCCCACAACTGTGACAAGGGGCCCGGTTTCCACCCTCACCCCTGGGACATTGACTTCCACGCCCCATGTCTCCTACCAAATCAGCCCTTCCTGGCAGCTGTAAGCAGCAGAGGCAAGGAAGAGGAAATGAACACAATGGCCACCGTCCCAGTGGCTGCGGAATGTGAACAGACGTGACTTGCAGATAACATGTGGATGTCTTAGCATCCTCTGAGTTGGGAAGGGTCTTCTGTGGTGTTTTCCAGCCTCCCACCCAGTCACTACAGGATCCCCTTCTGAGAGCATCCCCCACAATTCCCTAGGCGGGGCAAACTCTTTAAATCGAAAAGACTTCTTATAAAAAAGAAAAAAATGGCTGGTAAACCTAAAGCTACTGCTTTTCTCAGGAGAAGCATAGAAAAAGGCTTTTTCTTTCTCACCACAGCTCTGCTCTGCCTTCTAGGGCACAGGCTGGCAAGCTGCTGCTTCTGTTTTTATAAATAAAGTTTTATTAGAACACAGTCACACTCAGCAGAGTGGAACAGATTCTCCAACAGAGACCACATGTCCTGTGAGCCTAAACTACTTATAGCTGACGTTTCACAGACACCATATCTGGAAGAAATTTCCTCAAGTGTCTGTGTGATGAGCTGCCTGTATGTTTTACTTCCTTTGCCAGTCAACACTGACATTTTTGTAAATTTTAATACAAATGAATTGTCAAGACATATGAATTTTAAGGAATAAATAGAAAATATAAGAATAAATGTTTTTAGTATAAGATATGACCAGCACAAAGTTGCCTTCTAATTAAAAAACAGTAGACTGGGTATTAAGAAGTATAGAATGGAAAGTGTGCATGATAAATATGCATTATTATGCTGGTAACTTCTTGTTCTTTATCTATATTAATAGCAGGAATCTAGCTCCCTGTGTTAAATGCCGTGTGCCCACTGTGAACAACACCGAATCTATAAGGTGTTTAATATGTCTAAGCTTTGTGTTTGTAATCTAGTTAGGCCGGTAATGGCCACGGTAATGTATATGTTTATATATGTATTGTGACATGTATATTGTATTATATGTAATATCTATCTTATGGGGATGAGAGCAAAATCTAAGCATGAAATTAATTGATAGTTCGTAAACATGGAAAGAATGTCTTGTGCATACGACCTTAGGGCAATTGTGTACAATTTTAATGTGTTTGCATTTTTTTTAAAACTACAACCCATTACACAAGTCCAGGTGTGAAATTTTTTATCTGTAATATCGTGTTGGTGCTTGCAAATGTTTGGATTTTGGAGCATGTTAGCACTGGCTGTTTTGGATTGGGAACAAACGAGTGAAGGAAGGTGGACAGGATAACACTTTGTGCGTGTGTGTAGTACGGCTGCATCTTCTCCGCAGTGCTGGCAAACACCATTCTCACCCCCAGTCCTAGTCAGCAGTTTTAAAGACGCAGCATGGGGCTGCCTTTGACTGTTCTCTGCCCTGGGTGCTAATGATAATAGGTGCCAGTTTCATTTTGCTTGGCTTAGCTCTTCCCCACACCCCTTCGGTTTTGTTTGTTTGCTTTGGTTCAAAGAACTTAATTGCCACAGAATACCCTTCTACGGTTCCTCTTTCTCAAGGAGTCCGCCATTTTGTCAGATGCCTTGGTTGGGTTATGGCTGTTTTCCTGTGGACTAAGGCTGGGCTAATAAGCAATTTGAGCCCTCTAGAAGGGACCAGCTCTCTGGCTCCAGTCCTCAGAGCCTGGCTTTGCATCCTTTCTTAACCTAAATAAATGAGATCTTATCCAACTTGTATGTGGTTTTCTAGTGTTAGTAACTAGAGAGAGAGGTAGAGGTAGAGAGAGAATAGTTGGAACCAACATTAAATAATATAGTTTCTATTTTTAAACATTTTTATTTCTTTAAAGGTAGTGGCTCCTTCATTTGCCTGCCCTAAAATTTTGTCATCTTTTCACAAGTTCCCAAAAATGTGCTATGAAATCCAGTAAGTTTAGTCTCAGCTGTGGTGGTTACTTATGCATCAACAGCTCTGATATTTTCTTGTTGTTTTGTTGTTGTTTTATGATAAAAATCATGAAAGGAACTAGAAAATATCAGAAAATCCATTTCGAGTTTTCCTAGCTCTGTGTGTACATGGAGTTTTAATTTTTCAGTTTATTTCACCAAAACTTTACACCAATTTGTCCTTTAAAAACCAAAGCTAAATCTTCCCACTGTGGTGGAACCGCCATACAATTCTTAGAAGTGCCTTTGACTTTGTAGCTTCTTCCGCCTTAGGCTTGAATATTGCGATTGGGTCCAATTGGCTTTGCGTGAGTTAAGCCTACTGTGAGCAGCGTCCACTGATCACTGACTGTGAATCTGTATTTAGCCTTAAACAACGTATCGGGAGGTTAGGGAACTAAAGTGGGTGTCAGATGAGTGAAAAGATAGACCAGCAATGGCACAAACATTGGGAAGAACAGAACCCCACTGCTAAATGCACAGCCTTGTTTAATTCCCCGAGGAAAGCCTGTGAGTCAGAGACTATTTTCAGCCTGACTGGAGGTGATGGGAAGTTCCTTCGGAGGAGGTGAGAGGCTTGTGGTACCATGGTCACTCGGAGCCAGGGCTTTTAACCAGATGCCAAAGGAAAATAAGTCCAATGAACAGTAAGAATAGAATTAAGTGATTCTTACGGGCATGGTGTCCGGGAGCATCTAACTACGAGCAAAGTGAATAAAGTCAGGCCCTGTTCCTTCCAGCTGAGAGCAGGCTCTCAGACTGGAGGTTTCTGAGCTGAATAAATGGATCACACTCTGAGAAGCTGGTGAGACAGGAAACATTCCAGAGATCAGGATTCTACCCAGCTTTTTTCCTAGAGTACATCCAGAGAGCAGTGTTAAGGGCCCCAAGTCAGACAATGAGGGTGAAGACAAACCTGGGAATTGATCTGAAAAACGGTTCCAAGTTGGGTCTTAGTGAAAACCATGGTAAGGAGGGCTGGGAGCCGATGTCTCCTTCACATGGGGAAGTAAATGATTTCTGGGCTCAAGGGATAGACAAAAACAAACAGGGACACGGCTAGCCTCGGGGAAGGCAGGCTTCTGTGTGTCACAGGCTGCAAATTCCATCACGAAACAGATAGGTCAGTGTGTGGCATGCAGAATGCAAAACTTTGCAACCACAGCAACTGGAAGGTGTGCGCAGCCGTAGGCACTATGATCCAAGTTCATTCAAGCGAGGAGCCTGGTCGCCAGAGCAGCTGGGTGGGACTCTCTTCGAGTGTGAGCCTAAATTGGTGCCGACTTCACTACTTTTCAGAGTACAGCCCGTGATTCCACTGGTGACGCTTAGGAGAGGAATGACAAGGATTGAGGATTTTAGGGACTAAGGTAAGGAATGTCACCTTCCAGATGGAGTGAGGCTGAGGTTTGGAGGAGAGCTATGAATAGTCGCCCCTGAACTCAGCCGAGAGGTGTTTGGAGAGGAAAGAAGTGCCTGACCTGTGTTGGTGGTGCTGACCTACTGCTGCTGGCACCACTGTCTGGTCAGATGGTGCCTGCACACTCAGTAACCAGAAGGAAAACGCCTTAGAAACAAAGGAAGTACTGGAAAATAAAATTATGTATGTGTTTATGTGTGTGTATGTATATATGTGTGAATGGAAGTGTCATATATTTTACACAAATTTTATATGCCAACATATATAGGAAGACAGAGGGAACATGATGGGAGCACCATGTGGCCATGATCTGTGGACATGAGCGGTTTCCGTATCTTTTGCAGGGTGACGACTCGGATGAGGAAGATCTCTGCATCAGCAACAAATGGACTTTCCAGAGAACCAGCCGCAGGTGGTCCCGTGTGGATGACCTGCACACGCTCTTCCCAGGGGCAGACAGAAACGGGTCCCCAGGAGGCCCTAGGATGAGAAACACGACCAGCAGCGAGAGTGTGCTCACGGATCTGAGTGAACCCGAGGTCTGCTCCATTCACAGCGAAAGCAGCGGGGGCAGCGACAGCCGCAGCCACTCAGGGCAACACTGTGTCGACGGCCCGCTAGTTCTAGAGGGCACCCTGGTCAGCAGCGGCCTCCCACAGTCTCCCCGAGACAGTCTCGGCTACCCTTCCCACCCCAAGAATGAGAAACCCGCCAGGGCCAGAGCCAAGTCGTTTTTGAAACGCATGGATACCCTTCGAGCTAAGGGAGCACACGGGAGGCATAAGGGGTCAGGGCGGACAGGTGGCCTGGTCATCAGTGGACCTGTGCTGCAGCAGGAGCCAGAGTCCTTTAAGGCCATGCAGTACGTCCCGATACCCAATGGCGATGTGCAGACCTCGCCTCCAGCTGCCTGCAGGAAAGCACTTCCCTGCTCCAGTAAGTCAAGTGGTGAGAGCAGCCCCTTGGAGAATAGCAGCCGAGTGAGCACTCCATGTACGAAGGAGCGCAAGTGCCACCATGAGGCCAACAAGCGTGGGGGGATGTACCTGGAGGACCTGGATGTGCTGGCAGGGACAGCGCCACCAGATACAGGGGACCAAAACCACACGCATGGGTTTCATTCCCAAGAAAACTTGGTGGTCCATATTCCCAAGGATCACAAACCAGGAACGTTCCCCAAGGCACTTTCTATAGAAAGCCTGTCACCCTCAGACAACAGCAATGGGATTAACTGGAGGACCGGAGGCATCTCCCTGGGCAGACAACAGGGCCCAGGCATAAGGGAACCCAGACTCATGGCGTCCTGCCACAGAGCCAGTCGGGTCAGTATCTATGACAATGTCCCTGGCTCACATCTGTACGCCAGCACAGGAGATCTCTTGGACCTGGAAAAAGATGGCCTCCTCCCACAGCTGGATGACATCTTGCAGCATGTCAACGGCATCCAAGAAGTGGTGGATGACTGGTCAAAAGATATCTTACCCGAACTGCAAAGTCACGATGTGCTCGCGGGGGAGCCTGCCTTATCCCCGTTTCCATCTCCTAACCAGATCACTTTAGATTTTGAAGGCAACTCAGTCTCAGAAGGTCAGACGACACCCAGTGACGTGGAAAGGGATGGAACTTCTCTGAATGAATTGGAAGCTGCCGGGGTCAAAGAAAGAAGGGACTCTGGTGTGGGGGCCTCTCTGACCAGGCCAAACAGGTGGGTCACATGTTGTTATGAAGTTATGAATCTTCTTTGCTATGGTGGCTGTGTTTTTTTGGTTTTGTTTCTTATCACTGTGTGTGTGTGTGTGTGTGTGTGTGTGTGTGTATACACCATGTGTGTGCAGTACCCTCAGAAATCAGAAGAGGGCACCAGATTCCCTGGAACTGGAGTTACAGATCACTGTAAGTTGCTATGTGGGTGCTGGGAACCGAACCCAGGTCCTCTGCAAGAGCAGCCAGTGCTTTTAGCTGCTGAGCCATTTCTTCATCCTCTTTGGTTATTTCCTTAACATAGGTGGACAGCCTGTTTGTGCAAATGCCTGGGTAGGTAGAGGTAGGTAGAGGTAGGTAAGCACACACAAGGTTAAGAATTATTTCAACAGAGTTGTTTTTACAGACAGAGGGACCAAATCCATGTCAGTACACATCCATTTCTTTGTTTGACCTTTGTTTCAAACTTAGTTTTATTCAAGGGAAATCTAAAGAAGCATTGTAAATGGAGGATCACAGACAACTGTGGCCCAGGCCCTGTGCGCAAGATTTATTTTTAATTCTATGAGAGGTGAGGTGTATTTATGCCTTGTGCTGCTGCAGTTACCATTCAGACAGCAGACAAAACCAGTGTGCAGAAGCATCCTGAGAAACGAACCGAGGTCTCTAACTCCTGCCATCGGTGGGCGCCACCTGGGTTCCAGTTGAGGCAAGGATGTATTGTAGGACTCAGGGGTATGTCATCTGTGCCTGTCACCTCCAGATGCCAGCTCCACCACAAAGGACAGTGAGGAGGCACGCATAAAAAGTAGAAAATGCTCTACAGCCTCTGTGTTGGAGAATCTCCCCTGTGTATTCTCCCCCCATTCCTCTCTGTTTTATGTCTCTGCCTCTTTGTCTCACTATCTCTTCTATCTCTTTGTCTCTGCCTCCATCTGTCTCTCAGTCCCTTTCTGTCGTCTTTCACTTTCTCACACATCCAGGTACACACACACACACACACACACATACACACGCGCGCGCGTGCGCTCATGTACCTGGTTTAACTGCCCTGGACACTTTGGAAGTGAATTTGAGAATAAGCAAAGTTTTTTTGGTTTTTTTTTTTTTTGGCTTTTTAAAAAGGATTATATCACTTATTTAAATCCCACATTATTTGGTTGTACAGCCTTTCCTACTTTTAAATGAAATAATCAACACACCCTATTCTGGGTTTATATAAGCTGTCAAGTTCACCGCTCTGTCTTTGTTCCTTTTGCTCTGTGATGTTTTTGGCTCAGAACCTCCTGGGTAGCCATTTGTACCAAAGGGCTAGGTGGCTGGAGCTTTTTAGTTACCCTCGACCTGGTGACTGACAGCGCTGGCCTTCTGTGTTCCAGGCGACTACGATGGAGCAGCTTCCACCTCTCACACCAACCGCAGGCATCTCCAGCCACCCCGCACATCAGCAGCCAGACGGCGGCCCAGCTGAACCTGCTCCAGCGCTTCTCGCTGCTTCGTCTCACAGCCATCATGGAGAAGTACTCCATGTCTAACAAGCACGGCTGGACCTGGTATGTAGCATGTTCACAGGCGAGCACATGCTCAGAGCTAACTGTGTCATTGCAGAAAGCCTCCAGCGTTTATATGCCGGTGTCTGGAGAGCTGAGCACCATCTGCACTTCCCTTTCCTGGAAACCATGGAGACTTCTGCTTGTCATCTGCCCTCTGGGCAGCCGGGCTAGTCCCGTTGAAGCACGCGGGAAACAAGGTTGCTTTATTTGTAGCTCCTGGGTGGTTTCCAGAGAAGGGAGTCAGGTCCTGAGAAAGAAGCAAGGCCAGCAAACAGTGACAAATGGTGAACACAGGAGTTAGAGAAGAACCTGCCACAAAATATGGCTGGCAGTTTGTGGGGAGCCATCTGTCACTGGTCCTCGTGGCCGGGTGCAGAGCCCACCCCTTATAGCACTGATCCACTAATCCTTCAAGTACGTGTCTGCTTCCATTGGCAAGTAAAAGTGAGATTTTGCAGTACGCCTTTGGAATTAGGGAGCTGATAAAATCCATAGTGTATGTAGGCTTACTGTGGATGATGAATGAATGAGTGGACTTGAAAACCATAAAGCACTATGTCATGTCATATGTATAGAAGAATCAATGTTGTGTTTATAAAAATGTCAAAGGTTATAAATTGTGTGATCAAATCAATATACATGTGTGTTAAACATAATATATATGCATGCACGTTAAAATTCCCTTTAGAATATAGAGCTAGCTCTGGAAAACTTAAAGACATAGCCAAGAAAATACAGTTCATCTTTTTCCCCCCCTTCAGTTTCTTCAACCCCAACCAGATGTATTCTTCCTCTTGTAAGCTCTACATACGCTTTGTTTTGTTCCGTTTGGGGGAGTTTTAAGTGTTCGTCACATGAGAGCTGTTTCAGTCACAATTAAATTGGAAAATTGCCCATCACCCCTGCATTGAAAACAGAGCTACAAAGACGATTTGGCAATGTGAATCACACTGTTTAGCAGAAATGACATGTAGGCAAGAGCCGCGTGTAGAGCGCCACAGACTCTGACTGACGTAGAGAAGGCTGAAGTCTGCCTTTGCCTCTGAGGTATTCCAACCGGAGCTTGGCCTCCCTCTCGCTTGCTTCCACAGCCTCTCAGCACGCTGCGCCCCAGGGACCTTGCATGACCTGGTTTCTGTGAATTCCAGGTCCGTTCCAAAGTTCATGAAGAGGATGAAGGTTCCCGACTACAGAGACAAGGCTGTCTTCGGTGTTCCTCTCATAGTCCATGTCCAGAGAACCGGACAGCCCCTGCCTCAGAGCATTCAACAAGCACTGAGGTATCTACGTAGCAACTGTCTGGATCAGGTAGAGTGGTAAATCCCAAACATGGGCTTGGGGTGAGGGGATGGCGGACTGAGTGGGGCCTATCCGGTACAAGGCATACCTCACCAAAAGTAAACGGCACTCATGTCTCCAATGCCACGGTTTAATACGGCCAGGTTAGGTCCCTATCTGGCTTTGGACAATGGTCCCTCCTTGGCTACTTGGCTACTGTGTAAGCAAGGAAGCTGACGGTAATAACGTGTATCTCTAATGTCTAGTTTACTCCCTTGAAATTGAGACGCAAGCTGTGGGCAACACTACATTTTCAATTATTACCCCAAAGCCATTATTCAGCCCGCAGCATTCTTTTACCAGTTATGTAGTTTCTGGAAGAACAAAGAAGAGAAAAAAAAACAAACCAGAATACAGGTCTATGTCTCCCTTTATTAACTTCTCAAAGCAGCACAGTGAGCAAAACAGATTTATTTACATTTTTCTTTTTCAAAACTCACAAGTAGAATGTGAAAGCCATTTCAGCTGACTCCAACAGCCCCTTGCCTGAGAGGGCATGGGAAAGGGTCACAGGAAGGAGACACTCAGACTGTTTTCGGCCTGAGGACAGTTTGAGGACCATCATAGTGGTGGGCTCTACCCAAGCACAGAATGAGATCCATCCCATAGTTTATAAATTCCCATCCATTCCTCCTTTCCATACTCCACCCCAAATAAAAGCCGCCCTGGCGCTTCACAGACTGCCCCTTGAGCAAGGGTGGCTGTGTAGCGGCCTCACTCATTTAAGGTGAAGGGAAACCCACAGCAGCCTTCGGGCAGGCTTTGTTGATTTACCCTTGCCTTGGGCTCGGTGGGCGGGATGGGGCTATGCTCCACGAACTCAGAGATCTTGGCTCTGACCCTTGTAGCGATATCAAAACAGACCGAACTGAAAATCATAATGGCATCTTGATGAAGTGAATGCCAGTTTGCAAGCATCTTGGGTTGACCTACCTGGCAATCGCCCTTGACCTAGCCAGACAACATGCAGATGGACAGTTTGCGTATTTTTTTATGTCATAGTACAGGGCAGGTGGCTACTGTCTGGGACATTTGGGTGGGTGGCTGTTTCTGTTTTCAGCGTAAAGTGTCTAGCATGTATTGTTGCATCTTAGCAGAGCCAGCCCATGAACCTGGTTATTGACCTGTAATTTTTTTCCAGTAGCAGTTCTACCACGAATCCACATTTAGAATCAGAGTTAACTTCCTATAGGCATTTTACTAAGAAAACACTCGGACCTCTTTTCCAATGGCTAAAGTATTACAGCCATGCCCTCTGATATAACTTTATGGCCCCAGTTACATTGGGCTGGTTTGTTGGTACACATCCAAGATTCTGTTTTCTGGCGAGTAGATGGCTTTGAGTGCAAACACACTTTGCCAGGTCTCTCGGTTTTTGTAAAAGTGTACACATTTTTCATAGTTCTCTCTGAGTTCTTAACTGTGTCCTTTCCTGAGATCTAAAAGACTGTGTATGTCCAAGGCATGGCCAGCAAAACCACTCACAAGACAAACAACATACGCTCAGGAACACCTAAAGGAAATGCGGTCATCCACAGTCGGGTCCCCCATACTAACCTGTGTTTCCAGCAAGTATACTGAGTTCTGTTCTCCTTGCCTCTTTTTCCCACACCTAGCCGACGCAGTATCCACACCCAGGTCTCCACTGGGAGGCCAACATCTCCCAAACCTAACTTTACTTTTCACTGTTTCTGCCATTGCACCATTGGGCTTTTCCCTGTGGGACTTGGGTGTGACTCCGCTCCCCACTACAACCCTCATTGATAAATCCATTGTCAAGATTTGATTGACTGTATTGGCCATTATGTCCTCTAGTGCCCTCTCTGTGAGAATGAGAGGAAGAGCCCCCTCCGCCCGGGCTTCAGTACTTGAGAACCATGTGTTTCTTTTGGCCTACTGGCCTGAGTTTTGTATTGTAAACTCCAAGTTCATCTAACTGGGTGTGTTTTCCTCTGTGTACCGCCTGCTGGAGAGCTCAGAGCCAAAAGCATATTCTGTCTGTCCTAAATGTCGGTCCCTTTTCTCTTTGGGCCACAAACTCCTCGCAACCTCCTTCCCAGCTGCAGTTACCCCTTTTTCTTTTTCATTTTTCCTTTCTGATATCTTTCAAGGAACCTTTTGTCGATCACTGTCAGTCATGTTCTTTCTTGAACCAGTTTGGATATAAATAAATAAAAAAATGTAATGCCGCTGGATAGAAAACACCCCTCACCCAGCCCCGCCCCATGCATTCTTAGTGATGTCTGCACTGGAATCACCCCTGTGATTGGCCCCATCTCCCTTCTGAAGCCAAAACTGTGGAGAGAAAATAAAATCGTAGGAAGAAAGGAAAACGGGGATACAGCCCTCTTCAGCCCTACTTCTGGCTTCTCCCCAGTATCAGTCTCAAAGAATCCCACTGTGTACAGAGCTTTGTGGGGGAAAGTCTTTGTCAGGGAAATGGACACTGATGAGCAATGCAGCCCACCGGGGAAGGCCATGCTTCTCTTGAGTCAGTCACGAGAAAGTAGCTCTAGGATGTCTGAAGGGACAGAGCCACCATCCACTTTAGCCCTGCAATGGCCCTGCCTTGTGTGTGGCCTTCCCTCCGCATGTCACTTACAGGGGAGCACACAGACAGTGCCCTCCATGTGCCAGGGAGGTAAGAGAAGAGCAGAACCAAGGAAAGCTAGAGAAGCAGGAAGAAGCCAAGAGAATCAGGCAGAGTGGGAAGATAGCCTTGGAGATCTAGTGCAATGAAAGTTAAGGAATCCAAAGAGCAGGCGGCAGGGCTAGGAACGGGAGGGGAAGTAGATGCTCTTTCTTCGCCAATGGTGTCTCATCGGAATTGACAAGATTCACCTCTGCACAGGGCCTCGCACTCTCAATCCGGGACTGTGGAAGACCCAAAAGTCCCCCAAACATCTTTCCTGTAAGCCACAGTCTGAGAACCATCATTTGAGACTGCCTTGAGGCTGTGGCACTGAACACTGAGTGGGAGGCCACCTGCAATTGGTGGAGTCCCTTCCAGAAAGCTAAACATTTGCCTGGAATGTCAGCACTCATCAGAAGGCTGTCAAAGCACAGGACCACAAAGCATTGCCAGCACTTTCTGTCTCTCCCTCCCCAGCGCAGTGCAGTTTCGATTTGAGGAAGGGCAACATACCCATTGTCAGCCATACAGGTGGCCTTCCATTGTCAGCCATTTGTATTCAGACATGGTGGCCTGGGGGACCAGCCTTGCCTTATTGTGTGAGCTTTCCTGGCTGTCCTAAACCACCCATCCGCTGCAGCATAGGTTATCTTTGGCTCCTACATGGAAAGGCTAAGCCAACACTGCAGAGTCGCTGCCCGTCACATACTCTACTTATGACTTTTGAATAAAGCCTACCTTTCTTCATTAGCTGAGCCCATTTCTAAAGAAGAGGAAATGGAAGTCCTGATAAACATCATTAAGCCCTGCAAGGATTAGCATCAACAGGACGCCAAGGAGGAGACTTAAGACTATTTAGATAAATTTGAATTCTAATGCAGCACTCACCGTCCAGCCACTCCTTTTAATGGAGCCACAAGATTTAAACGCCTTTGAATTCTGGGAAGAGACCTCGCTTTCAGTGGAAGTGTTCTCTACATTGCCGCCTGCTGTTCACATCACCAGCTGACTACCTGAGCAGCAATAAGGGATAATCCGGGACCTTCTACATCAACTACTCCTGGAGCCCTGGCTTTTAGGTTGCTGGGCTTAGAGAAAAAGAATGAAAGTAACCCAAAGGGACACCCAGCCCTCGTCCTTCTGTCATTTAGCAGGGAGCTCATAGACAAGAGATACTTGCGCAGTGGGTTTTCACAGCGCAGCACCACCTACCTCCTAAAGTGGGTACTGGGGATGTTGAAGAAGGCAGGTAAAGAGCCAGCCTGCTGTGTAATCTCTGGAACCCAGTACAAAATAATAGGATTCCTTGTTCTGTTTTTTTTTTTCATTTTTAAAAAAGATTTAGTCGTTTTTAATCTTATATATATGACTATTTTGCCTGCGTGTACTGTATATGTGCACTATGCATATGATGTCCACACGGGCCAGAAGGGGGCATCAGAACCCCTGGAAGTGGAGTTACAGATGGCTGTGAGCCACCATGTGGGTGCTGGGAACTGAACCCAGGTCCTCTGCAAGAGCAGCCAGTGCTCTTAACCACTGAGCCGTCTCTCCAGCCCCTCCTTAACATATTTTGAGAATCTCAAAACTGACAACAGAGCCTTCAGCAAACTCTGGGTCCCTGTAAGACTGCCTGGATTTCCCATCCACTCGTGACAGGCATAGAAGTAAGTGGAAGACATGTCGCCCTCTTGGATCTCACTCAGAAGGACCTGAAAGTCTTGGGTCGCCTCTCAATAGCAGGCATAAGGAGCATGTTTAAAATACAAAAACAAACAAACAAAAAAACCCACTTTCTGTTGTTTTGTTTTTAGAACTTAGAACACAGCATTTTAGGTCCAAAATGCAAATTTATCCTTGCATTGGAGGCTATTGGCATTTAGCTGTCCTTCACAGTTAGATAGGAGACGCCCTGCCCTTGGCTCAGAACTACACCTTCAGGAGGCTAGTCTTCTTACTGTGTCCCAGTACTGCTGACTGCAGTTAACAAAAACCGCAGTCCTCAGACAACAAGAATTCCTGGCTTGTTCATTCATCAGCTGCCTGGTGTCTTCCTGAAGGCTGCAATTCTTGGGTCATTCTTAGCTACTGTACCTAAAATCTCATCTGGGGTTTTTAAAGCCACTTTGCCTCTAAGTGTAGGAAAGCAGCTTTTCTTCTAGGCTTCCAACAAATTCCACAGAACCCAGGGGGTATTTCCCACATCCCCTGGAAGGTGAGGACAAAGCAGGAAGTCTCTGCTGGAATCTAAAGCGGAGTGAATCAGTTCCCTACCACCCTCCAGACAGCCTGTGTGCTCGGGGATGAAAGAGAGCCCCAGACAGATTTGTAATAATTGAAATCACAGTGTTTGCCAAAAGAGAAAACCTGGGAACAAAACAATACAAAGAAGGCATCCGGGGTGTACCTGTGTGCAGACTCCCAAAGAGCCACAGGACCCCAGAGGCCCGAGGACTGAGTTGGGCGGAAGCAACACAAGTACTCCTTTTATAGACCCTGATCGAAGCTTCTCTGCTGGGAGGGGAAAAAATTAAATGAGGATAAATTGTTGTGAGTCACACTTAAGTGCCCTCAGGGCACTGCAATCTTGGGAAGGCCTGTGTAGCCCAGTGAGGTGTAGACAGTTCAGAGCCTGCTTCCAGAATTACACAGACTCAAGGATGTCAACAAATCGAAGCTGGAGCTCACTTCAGTAAGCACCTGCTACCTATCTTGATTTCTTCTTTTTTTTTCCTACTGACAATGAATGCTTTCTTCCTGTGCTCTGTGATGCAATTTGAAATACTTGCCAGGCCAGGAAAAATAAATGTTCTCTAGATTCGATGTGGAGAATCATCCAAATATAGCGAAAGATGGCATTTTCTAGACACTGCAAACTTGGAACACAGTAACCAGCACATTAAAAAGGAATCTGCCTGAATATCTTGATCTGTGGAATTTGGTGATAAGCCCTGGAATGCAAAGAGCTGTTCCTAAGAATTCTGTTCATGTGACCAGACAATGTAGCAACGTTTAATTTCCCCCTTATCTATGCAGCTGACATGTTCAAACTCTCTAATGGCTTGGATTTTTTCCCCCTTGTTCCTGTAAGTAATGATGACGGTGATACTGTTGCCTTCATTTAGAGCAACAAGCACGAGACGCCAGGGTTAGTATGACAGCTATATACAGGTGTTTCCCCAGGTATCTGGGAGAGAGCAATGGCCAGTCCCACCTGTCCACCACTCAGAAACATTCCACCTTGCTCTCAGAGCAGAGAGCAGAAACTGAAAGGCTAAGTGTTGAGAACTCAGTGCTCATATACCTGAACCAAGGAAAGCTCAGCTGTGATTTGGGTAGGGCAAGTCTGGGATAGAGGGCTCCTAGAGACGTCTGGACCTTACCCGGTTCCTCTCAGGATTCTCAGTGTACCATAAGGTTTCTGATCGCCTCACTTGCCCATCTTAAGGTCCTTATCATTTTCGTATTTTAATTGTTGTGTGTGGTGACCTAGAAGGTAGATATGCATAGTTAGTATGACAAAAGCTATATTTTATTATGCTGAGGGTCATCACACAAGGCCCACTCTCTAAACTCCTAACTATGATTCTAAGCCTATCTCCCCGAAGTTGCTCACCTGTGTAATGTATCTTAGCTGAAGGTAAGGTCCAGTCTCGAACGGAAGTCTCTGATTCGAAGTTCAGGGTCCTGCAGGAGACTCTCCAGCCACAGGGCAGATCAGGTGGCATCTCTCCTGATGTGCAGAGCAGAGCATTGCTCTTCATCTCTGCTTAGAGACTGTCCAATGGGTGTCCTGTGGTTCTAGGACTGTCTGGTGATCTTGAGTGAGGGATGGCACTGGGTTCTGGTTATCAGGTCCAGTCTTCTTGGGTGTGGTGGGGTTCCTAAGATGTTTTTACACGTCTAAAGGGCATTATTTTTAAACTATTCTTATCACTTTCTGTTTATCAGGGACCAAGGGGTCTAAGTCTAAAGATGAAAAAGTCTACACACTGGGATGTAAGAGATGGGTCTGGGTCTTACAAAGACAACTTCATAATCCATAGTCTCTAGACAAGGTGAAAAGAAAGGATACAGATTGGATTCTACAGAAGAGTGCACAGCTGCACTTGAGTACGCAAGCTCAGCCAGCAGTGGTCCAGCCTCACTCAGTGCACAGCTCAGCCTTTCTTTTCTTTTCTTTCTTTCTTTCTTTCTTTTTTTTCTTTTTTGCTTTTTCGAGTCAGGATTTCTCTGTGGTTTTGGAGCCTATCCTGGAACTAGCTCTTGTAGACCAGGCTGGTCTCAAACTCACAGAGATCCGCCTGCCTCTGCCTCCCAAGTGCTGGGATTAAAGGCTTGCGCCACCACCGCCCAGCTCAGCCTCACTTTCTTACGCAACTGGCTGATTTAAATCAATGCAGTTGATAAGTGGAGCACAATTTTGAGCATTGAGTACAACCCTGAGCACATATTTTGATTTCATGAAGTGCTGACCCTAGAGGAACTGGAATTTCTACCAAGTGGCTTCTACCTACTTTTTTAAAACCAGGTCTCTTTTCTTGCTTAACAGTCCATTGCTTTTACGTTTCCCACATCTGCTACTGTCTATAAAAAGCCACCCAGGAACCAGTCACACACACCCCAGCTGATCATGTCAGGTTCCAGGCATGTGAGAAACACATCACAGGTGCCAAGTATTTCAAAGAAAGAAAATCAAATGAGGAACTCAGAATGTGAGCTTACAAAGTTTTGTTTTAGGAGTCGGTTCCCCATAGACTCATTCCCTATAGGGATATGCCTGCATCTCTGAAATGTTTCCATTCTCCAAGTACATCATTTTGACCAAACCTCTTGTTGGGAGATATCCTTGTATGGATACTTGTTGAAAAAAAATGAGTCAAGTCACACCTATGCTGTTACAAGAGCTTACAACTTGGAAAGCACATAAGCACATCCACATGTGTCTGGACATTAAGTCTCCGCTGGGGCTCTGTGGGAGGGATACTATCCGTGTATCTGACAGGAAGGGGGTCAATGCTTGACTGTTACCTAAACTGGAAACTCAGTTACTGAGTTACTGGAAACTCAGAATTGTGGAGGTAGGATGGTTTTCTAGCTCATCCAGTCCTTCCAGTCCTGGCCCTGGGCCTCCTCTTTACATCCAGAATTCCAACCCCAAGAAAGAAGTTGTAGGCAAAAGGAGACCAGGCTTACACGTCCTTATGACTCATTTCAGGTGGGACTTTTCCGCAAGTCGGGAGTGAAGTCTCGAATCCATGCTCTGCGTCAAATGAATGAGAGCTTCCCTGAGAACGTGAGCTACGAAGACCAGTCTGCATATGACGTGGCAGACATGGTGAAGCAGTTCTTCCGGGACCTCCCTGAGCCCCTGTTCACCAACAAGCTCAGTGAGACCTTCCTCCACATCTATCAGTGTAAGTAGCAATGGCACAGTGGGCCCACCTGTCAAAAGGGTGGAATTTTAAAGATGTATTTATTATGTATGTGTGTGTCTGCATGTGTGTATGTGCACCACATGCATGTAGTGCCCGTGGAGGCCAGGAGAGGGCATCAGATCCCCTGGAACTGAAGTAACAGATGGCTGTGAGCCACCATGTGGGTACCCAAACCTGGTTCCTCTGTGAAAACAGTACTTTCAGCTTCTGAGCCACATCCCCAGCCCTACAAGAGATGGAATTTTAATTATACAAGTAATTCATGAATTTGTGAAGAAGCATATAAAAGTTACAATCCTACTTCTTCAGAAATAGCCTTTGCTCGGTTTGCTATGTATATCTCCATGCCATTCTTTGTATGTGTCTGAGGATACCTTCCCAAGATCAATATATGCCTACTCAGTACATCTTTGTATAGATTCTCAAGCTAACTTCCAATCTATTTCTAATGTATTTAAAACAAAACAGTATCTAATAGAATTGTGTGTGCACGCGTGTGCGTGTTAAACCTAATTTCATTTTTGGAAGGTAAGCATTCTCTTTGATATAAAATGTGATAGTAGACTCAGAGTCAAGTGAATTATAACAGTTAGAAACAAACAAGGAAGCAGATGTATTTTAACTGGTGATATGTAAGCAACCGAATCAAGGTTATACCTTAATTCAGCTAGCTTACATTTTCACTTGGAAGGGTTTAAGTGACATTAAATCAGTAGTTCTCCACTCAGCCACTATAGCTAAAGTAGTAATGAGAAGAACAATTGATTTAAAGGCCCATTCTGCTAAACGTAGTTACAAAGGCAGGCATTAGGAAGGAGCAGGTAGGCCTTTTCTCCATAGGATAATGATATCATTACAAATTGGCAAGGAGCTTCGTGGCCCAAGTATCTTTTCTTAGGGCAAAATTACTCTGGTCTACAGACTTCGATTTTTTCATCAAAATATTCCTCAAATGGGTGCCGAGATGGAACTGATCCAATCTGAAGACCGCTGCCACAGACACCCTGTACCACATGTGTTTAAGAAGTGCGTAATATTACAGTTCAGGGAGGACTGTACCACCCATCAAAACAGAATAAAGGGTGGCACACTAAATAAATCTTATGTTGTCAAAGTGAATAGGTTAAGCTGAATTTATGCTCCTGGAGCCCCACAAAAAATGTTCACGGCAGTGTTGCAGGAAGAGGTCACACTCTGTTTTTCAATTAAACCTCCTTATGGATATAGTATTTGCATTCAATCAGCCCTTGGGTTGAAGCTGGCACTATCTACAGCTAAAGCTAAATTATTTCCAAGAGATAAATATCTTTTTAGCTCTTCCCTAGACTTGCAACCAAGAAGCCAGATTAAAGCAGGGCTCCATTTTATCGGAGCAAACATTTACAGAGAGGGGCTGCGTTGAGCGCTGCAGAGCTTAGACTGTGTGGCACTCAATGTCTGTCCTTAGGGACCTTCGACTAGAGGGAAGTGAGACCAGTGCATAAATGACTGCAGTACAGTTGGAGAGCATCCGTTCCAAAAAGGAAAAGAATGGTTACAAAGACAGATCCATGAAGGTTGAGGCCAGCAATGGGAACCTGGTAGAAGGAAATGGTTGGAGGTCGTTATGAAGGAACACGTTGTGGACAAAGCAAATCACTGTGTCAGAAGTGTGCAGGGGATTTGTCCTGTGTAATAGGAGCTGCGGCCGTTTCCCACCACCCAGCTCCCACACGGCTAGCTTTACCAGAGATAACTATATGGAAACTGTATTCTTTTAAACTATGCTTGGCCCATTAGTTCTATCCTCTTATTGGCTAATTCTCACATCTCGATTAACCCATTTCTAATAATCTTTGTAACACCACAAAGTGGCTTACCAGGAAAGATCTTAACCTGTGTCTGTATGGAGTGGGAGATTCATGGCGACTGATTGACTCAGCTTTCTTTCTCCCAGAATTCTGTTCTGTCTACTCCACCTACCTAATTTTCTGTCCTATCAGGGCCAGGGCAGTTTCTTTATTAACCAATGAAAGTAACACATAGACATCATTTCCCTCCTCCATCAGTCCTGAGTGAATGCAAAATACACAGCACTGCACCAGGGGACACCGAGAATCTAGGAGGCCAGGGTCACACGAAAGTGGCATTAATGACTAGGGCAAGAGGTTTATACTTGATCTGGTACAACCTGGAGAGCCAGCAGATATTGGAAGACTTAGTTACAACGCCCGAAGCAGAACCGATCTCCCACACACAAATAGTTATTTAACAAGTAGAATGTTTTATTAGTACACATGGCATGAAGAAAAGTGAAATTAAACCATGCCAGTGTTGGGTAAACCTACAGTCCAGTGCTGCTAGGACAGCAGGGTCTTTGCCGCTCTCAAAGTCAGACTACAACGAAGTGTGCTTACGGAGTGGTTCAGTCTCAGCACAGTTGCCAGAACCTACAGAATTCACAGAATTGCCACATCTCCGTAAAGTCACACTGCGAGGCACCAAGAGAAAGCCAAGCATCTCCTTGGACATGTGTCTCTTCTCATGGAGAACATGAACCTCACAGAAACTCCTAACGTCATCACTGGTCCCATCAGCCTAAACTGGTTTACAATGACCCTAACCCAGTCCATGGAAAGAGGAATTGAGTGACGGACCACCTTTGGTATGAGCTGATATGGTTCATCCCTGGATCCGTGGGAGGGCCCAACCCTCCCAACAGCCCATAACCAAAAGGAGTGTGTGTTTTGTTGGTGGAGAAGGGAAGGAAAGTGGGTCACAAGGGTGAAAATTCATCAGAACTGATTCTGGATCTGTGACTCAGGACCTGGTGAGTAAGAGGAACCAGGTAGACATGAATGGAAGCTTAGGGAGCTGGCACACTCCTGGGGTTCCAACAGATAGATTCCATGGCTTAGCAACAGGTATCCAAGCTGATACTCAGGTTCGGCTGCCTCCCTGGTCTCCAAAGTATCTCTGTCTGGCTGGGTGGTGGTGGCGCACACCTTTAATCCCAGCACTCAGGAGGCAGAAGCTGGCAGATCTCTGTGAGTTTGAGGCCAGCCAGGTCTACAAGAGCTCTTTCCAGGACAGGCTCCAAAGTCACAGAGAAATGTTGTCTCAAAAAACCAAAAAAAAAAAAAAAGAAAGAAAGAAAAAGAAAAGAAAGAAAGGAAGAAAGAAAGAAAAAAAGTATCTCTGTCTTCTCACTTGATGCCATCAGAGGCTTAACTTGAGCGCAGTGTTGGGTGGGTCATGAGAAGATCTTAATCCTACCAGTCTATAAGAGAGGACGGTGAGGGACCTGAGACACCCTAAGACTTTCAGACTTGGTGGCCTAGTTTGGGGGGGACATGGAGGGGAGACATAGAAAGGGAAAGGAGAAAGGACCAAGAGCAGAGACAAAGCAGTCAGGAGAGAAAGCTGAGTGTGAGAGACAGGTCGCCACCCACGTGGTCATAGATTCTATGGTACTTAACACGGACAGATCTAGAACCATTTCCCAAGAACCAAGAAAGAGACAGGGACCACAACAATGCCACGAGTAACAGTAAGTGTGGTATAATGAGCAAAGCCAGTAGAATCCGGAATATGCATATTTTCAGATAGACAAAGGAGCACAGGAAAAGAAAAGACACAGAGACGGCATATGCACATCGCCAGTAACTTCGAGAAGAACAGCGTGGGAGCAAAAGCTGGAGCGGAAGGAAAGTTTGACAGGCTGAGGTTAGATAACACGCCCACACAGGGGACACCTTCCCTGGCCGCATTTACAAGCAGTTCATGGCTATGAGTGATCTTACATCATCAGTTATACTGGTTTCCGCATAGGCCCGGGAAGAAAAAAAACCATTTCACTGTCACTCAGACACAAGTGCTGTTCTCCAGAAAACCCAGTCACACCTTTGGCCAATATGCAATCGACAGGGTGAACCCTAACACGTGGTTACTCTTTCCAAGACATCTGGATTTGCTGACCTGCAGAATGCTAGAGAGGGCCAGGGGAGCCCAGCACAGACACTCACAGAAGCACATATCTTCTCCAGCCTAGGGATCCCAGACACTGCGTGTCTAGAGCAGCCAGGGCCGATTCTTTTCTATCGGGCACCTCTACCAGTAATTGATATCTGAGTGTGTGCTTCTTTGTTACATTAAAGGCACAGTGACATACAGTGAGATAGTGTGTACATCATAAAGCACAATTGAAAGCTCAAGGGACTGTCATGAGCACACTGCCCCGTACCTCAGGAGTACAAGCACCTTACTATGAAGACTTCCGCTCCCGGGCGTGGCTCTTTTAGATCAGTCATATTCATCAGCGAGCTCCTGCCTGTGTCTCTGAATCAAACCTAAATGATCATGAACCAATCACAGTCAAGAGGACAGTAAAATACAGACCCTCGTTCCCAATTTGTTGTGATTTTTGTTTTTCCACGTTGTGTTTTTGAGCCATTTACTTTTTAAGCCTATATGATCAGTGCCCACCACCTCCACAAGAGTGCCCTTCAGAGGAAGGGAGAGATGCTATTTACTCCCCAGAGCTGTAGGGAACCTGGTTCCTGTTCCTCATCAAACAGGTGACACTTGGTGACCATTCAAAGTCAGTCAGATCAGTGCCTTCTTCAAGTTGAGGTCTGGTGACTTGTAGGGACAGGAAGGATCCACTCATCCATGAGGCACTGGCTCCCCAGGAGTGGCCCAGGGCAAACAGCTCAGCCATTGATTGCTCAAGGTTCACCAAAGCACACCAGCAACACGGCCTAGGGCTCTACTGTGGTGGGGAAGGACCAGGTCTTTGTCTTTTCACCCAGTGGCTTTCACAAGTGAGTCCCACCCAACCTTGGCTGTCCCTAGCGCTGCCTGGCAAAGAGGGTGAGCAAGAGAGCAGCCAGGCTAACAGAGCCCCAATCCATCACCAGCTTCCACTAACATAGCAATATGAAGAGAGACGAGCCTGGTGCTCAGAGTGTGAGACACAGGGTGGTGGCTTTGCTCTAAGTACCTCTGGCACACTCAGACGGGTTCTGGAGTTTGCCCGGATGAGCTTCGAACTCCAGCTCTGCCCCTCACTGTGACTTCTCAGATTAACTACAGATGATGTCTCTGCATGTCTTCTGTCTGGAAGAGGAGTGCATGCATTTCTCCCCCACCGGCTCTGCTCTGTTCCTCTAACAACCTGACACCCACTTCTCTTCAGATGTCCCCAAAGAACAGCAGCTGCAGGCTGTGCAGGCAGCCATCCTGCTGCTGGCGGATGAAAACCGGGAGGCCCTGCAGACGCTCCTGTGCTTCCTCCATGACGTCGTGAACTTAGTGGAAGAGAATCAGATGACGCCCATGAACCTGGCCGTGTGCCTGGCCCCCTCCCTCTTTCACCTTAACTTACTGAAGAAAGACAGCTCGCCAAGGTGAGTTCTCCTCATCACTGTCAGCCGTTCCCAAACCAGGTCTCCCACCAAGGCCCATTTTCTTAAGAAGTAAAATTAAACAAAAGTGTTGTTGTAGGACAGTTCAGACAGAAGGCTTTCGGGGGGGTGAGGCACCCTCATTCCTGGGCTGAGGTGCGTAGCACTACTGAGGTAGCCCTGAATGACGTCAGTAGCAATCCAGAAAGTCCAAGTTTTGCTTTATTTTATTTGAGTGGGAAGGAGAAGGAACATACATAAAAAGAAATTTACAATCATTGGTTTTAAAAGGCTATATTTAAAAAGCAAGGCACAGGAACCTGCAGTGGAGCAGTTTCAAAGGGAGAAAGAAACATAATTTTTCCACCTACAGCTCTTCCTGTCTTTGTACTTTTCCATGGCTTTTGGCTGTGAGTTGTCAGCCTGCCAGCCTGCCTCGGAGCATCTAAAAATGTGCGGTCACTGGTTTTTATTTGGAAAGGAGAAAGCCTGGGATCTTGGCAGCATCTGGGGATAAACAGCAAACAGATGGGACGGCCCGGGTATCCCAACATACTCCGACTGGGGATCTGCTTAGCACACTCATATTCGATTACAGGGTCATCCAAAAGAAATACGCCACCGGGAAGCCAGATCAGAAGGACCTCAATGAAAATCTAGCCGCAGCCCAGGGGCTCGCCCACATGATCACAGAGTGCAACCGACTCTTTGAGGTGAGGCTGTGGAACTAGCAGCAGGTTGGGAACGAGGAGAGGGATGATTGCTCTCCATTTTCCGACGACAGCCATGTGCACTGCAGCTCTGGTCTCCGCCCCCAGGAGTTATGAAGAGCTAGCTGTATAGTCCAGGCTTTGACAGCCACTGGCAGTTGGGGCTCATCACGACAATTTTTCATGCAGACAGTTGAACTGCCTTCCTTGGTCAGGCTTAAGGCCAGTTGGTCAGCTACGTGACCTTTTATTTTTGCTTCAAGACGTGATTAGGGTCCTCCTCTGTCTCTCTGTCTGCCTGTCTCTCTTTCTCTGTGTATGCGTATGCACGTGCGCTTGAGTATGATTGAGTACTCCTTGTCACTAGGATAATTGACAGCCTATGATTGTAGCCGGAGCCGACCATGCATTCAAGAGGCAAGTGGGGGGACACCTGGCACGCTCTCTATGGCAACACTGGCCTTTGTCGGCGGGAGAGCTGTACGGCGAGTAGTGAAGGCATGTCTGAGTCATACTGTGCTTTCCCTCCATGTATCAGTGTGTGTGGAGGAATGACGCTGGCTGAGCCCACGCTTGCCAAAAGGAATAAAAAGCAAAGTGGAACATGTGATCAGGAAGGCTTCCCAGTGTTTGGGATAATAAACATCAGCTCACAAATCCTATTTGGGTTTCCTGACTTTCTTAGACCCTGGTCTAAGATGGCCTAGCCCATGCTCGCCCTTGACTGGAGAGGCATGACTCTGTCTCCTCAGTCAGCCTCAGAATCTCTTTAGCTCACTGCTTTGCTCTTCCTCCATTCCCTGGCTCAGGTCCCACATGAGATGGTGGTCCAGTCTCGGAGCTCCTACTTGGAGGCTGAGATCCATGCACCCAGCCTGGAAGACTTGGGAACGCAGGTGGCAGAGAGCGGGGCAACTTTCCACACGTACCTGGAGCATCTAGTCCAAGGCCTCCAGAAAGAAGCTAAGGAGAAATTCAAAGGGTGGGTCGCATGCTCCAGCCCCGACAACACAGACCTGGCTTTCAAAAAGGTAAGATTCGCTTCCGCTGCAGAATGTGGGTGGCACCGTGGGACTTAGCGCCTGCGCGAACCGCGAAGGTCCAGGTGCCGCTCTATTCGAAGGCCGCCAACAGCACTCTCATCGGAGCCCAGCCTGTACAGAGGGCTGCTGGATCCCAGTCAGTCTCGGCCCCTTTTCTGTGATGCTGGGAAAAATCAATGTCGAGCATTTTTCACTTGCAAAGAGGAGCATTCTAAGAGTGCCTGCCACAGAAGAACTGCAAACATGGAAGTTAAGTGGATTAGAACATGTCTGGCCTGAGGACTGAAGTATTTGCATTTTAAGTCCGGGTGCAGCATGACCGGCTCACTTTATATAACCAGCGATGGTTTAGAAGGCCCGCACAGCAGGATAAGGGTAGGTCTGGGTGGCCCCTAGTGATCTCTTCAGCCCTTGCCCATGTCTTTGCCAAGGTGGGGGACGGGAACCCGCTGAAGCTGTGGAAGGCGTCTGTGGAGGTGGAGGCACCACCGTCTGTGGTGTTGAATCGTGTGCTGAGGGAACGCCACCTGTGGGATGAGGACTTCGTGCAGTGGAAAGTTGTGGAAACTTTGGACAGACAAACCGAAATCTACCAGTACGTGCTGAACAGCATGGCCCCGCATCCCTCCAGAGACTTCGTGGTTCTCAGGTAAGCCTGACTCCATGGTGTATGAGGTCCTGCTCCCAAGGCAAGATGAGAGCTGCCGACAGAAGCACTTCCCCCAGTCCTCCCAGCCTGCTCTGGGGCTCTAAGCTCCTCTCTGACTTCCGGAATCTTCACCTAATTTACAGCTCTGCCCAGGCTCTCTGATGGCCTTTCTCCTGTGGTACATACAGTTTATTAGGCCATGACTATCACATCCTCAGAGCAGAGGCCCCAGAATAGATGCTGTTCGTAGGGCTTATCTGCCAAGTTATGCAAATCAAAGTCAATTGGCCTTTCTCCTGGTTTTGTCTTTCTCCTTGGGGAAAACAGGTTCTCATTTTGGAGAATTTGAAGATGGGAGTGTGTGTGACCTCACACGTTCACAATTAATTGCCATGTATGGCAGTTCCTGCTCAGCTCCAGAAGTCCCCAGTGTGTGGAGACACTGGGCTTTCTATTAAAATTCAGTCCTGGCCAAGCCTCCTGAGCCGTGTCTGCCGTGGAAATATTGTTTCTGGTGGGTTTAGGGGTTAGTCCCAGAACCCTGCCCTTTTGCCTTGGAGTGGGATGCTCATCCAATCCCAGAAGTTTGCACAGCAGACACGCACTGTTTCACCAGCGAGAACAGGGGCTGGGGAAGACTTAAGACCACGAACAAAATGTAATTAGAGCAATATATCCTTTTTATTAAAAAACACGAGTAAACAATTTCTTCTTTGGGGATCAGCTGTATAAGAGGATTCTCTAGTGAAATCCCCAAATGCATGTTTGAAATAGTTGCCTTCTGAAGTGACCTCTGGGGGCAAACCAAAGCTGACTGGTCATGGGCCCTTTGTGCATTTGGTTTGGATCCTTGGGACCTTAATTTTGAAGTGTGCGTTTCTCCTAACCATCTGTGTGTATCCCAGCAACCTTGTCCTGATGGAGAACGTAGACCATTAGCTGCGGTGGCCTCTGCCAGTTATTAGGGCATCCCTCATCTTGTGGCATTAAAATGGGACCCTGCAACTCACAAGCAGAAAGCGAGCTGTCCAGGACTGGAGTTGTGCAGATGGGGAGTCCCTGCACAGAACGTTCCTCCTTCCATCTCCAGTGACTCCACCAGCCTGTTACTTCCTGTAGATCATCCCAAAATCCCGTATGCCAGTCACAGCTTCTGCCTCTGAGGGTGCCTGTAGCGGGCAGCAGCCGGCTGACCAATCATGGTCTCCTCTGAGAGTTTAGACTTCTGAGTGTGTGTGTGTGTGTGTAAGTGTGTGTGTGTGTGTGTGTGAAAGTGTGTGTATATGTACAAGAGTATGTGCTTGAGTGTGCGTGAGAGAGGGTGTGTGCGTGCGCGTGTGTGTGTGTGTGTGTGTGTGTGTGTGTGTGTGCATGTGTGTGTGCTCATGCCTGCACATGTGTGCCTAGGCCAGAGGTCAATCTTGGGTATTGTTCCTTGGGAGCATCTACTTCATTATCTTTGAGACAGGGTCTCTCTTTGGGACCCGAGGCTAGTAGGTAAGCTGACTGGCCGGACAGGTCCAGGGAACATCTTGCCTCCACCTCCCCAGTGATGAGACTCCAAGTGTGCACCATCATGCCTGACTTTTTATGTCAGTGCTGGGGATTGAACTCAGTTCCTTACGCTTATGCTCCTTTGCCAACCCAGTTCTCCCCTCAGAGCCTTTTTTTACTCTCCTGGGTCAAACTTACTTATCTCTTCTGCCCCATCCCCTGGCCCCAGCTCTCCATGAAAGCACACTGCACTTCCTTCACTGTCTGCAGGGTTCTTCTTAGACTTGCTTGTCTCTCCCCCTGGGCTGTAAGCATCTTCATGTCCTCATGGCTTCTCAGGCCCAGCACATAGAACGATTGAGTGAGTGCTGATTCTAAATGGTAGCCTTTTGATGATGGGTAGGGGATGGAGCCTCAGTTTGGGGTTCCAAACCCAGATCTGGGAGCTTCCATCCTCTAAGTAGGAGGCTGAGATCTGTGCTTTGAACCTCACTTTGTAAACTTCATACAAACTCACAGAAACCATTAGCTTAATCCTCACACTGGAGCTATAGAGCCCAGGTTTAGGGCAGGAGGCTTAAGTGTGAGTTTAGCTGTGGGCTTGGGGGTCTCCCATCTCTCTTCCTACCACTCTGAAGCATGGCTTGTTTGGTTCCAGGACCTGGAAGACTGACTTGCCCAAAGGAATGTGCACCCTGGTATCCCTGTCTGTGGAGCATGAAGAAGCCCAGCTGATGGGCGGCGTGCGGGCGGTGGTGATGGACTCTCAGTACCTGATAGAACCATGTGGTTCTGGCAAGTCCAGGCTGACCCACATCTGCAGGATAGACCTGAAGTAAGTGGCCACACTGGGTGTTGGAGGTTCCCATGAGCCGCAGCTCACAGGGTATGTGCACCCAAACCATGCTTGTCATTCTGATGCCTTCCTCCGCTAGTCTGTTTCCTCACCACCATGAACCAGCTTCCAGAGGATCACACGCCCTAGTCTCGCCATCCCCTTTCCTAAAATGCTGACGTTTGGCCTTTAGAATTTGCTCCTCTTTCTTTTCATTTTTTTCTAATTCATTCATGCCTTTCCACAAACATGTAATGGCGTGGTGTTTGTGGCATACACAAGGATGTTTTGACATATGTCCATACGGCAGAACCAGCAAGTCAAGCTATGAAAATATCCAGCAATGATCAAGAACATGCTGTTCCCCCTAGAGTCACCTGTGTGGAATGGGATGGAATGACGGTCATTAGTGTCAGGGAATCAAGTGTTAGAGTGAAAAACACGTCTGCTTCTTCGCTGGCACAGTGACTCAACTATTCGTTCAAGCTGCCTCCAATGCGTTTTAGAATTACAGGAGGGGCACACAAGTGCCAGCGAACCAACTTAGTGGTGCAAGAACTGGAGACACCCCTACCGTGCACTGATTGCAGCACATGGGCACACAGATCTTTAAATGCTTGATGAGAAAAGTAACCATAGCCATCAGTTGCTTAGAACCTCCCGTCCAGCTGAAATGTTGCAGCATAGAATCAACATTTACCTCCCCAACCCCAAGCCTTATAGTCTCGTAGTCTCCAGTCAGCACCATCCTTCCCTCTGATTCAGTGAGTTCCATCTTTTTAGACTCCATGTAGAAGTGAGAGCATGCGCTTCTGAGCCGTCTACGCTTAGCCTATTATATTGAACATAGCGATGTTCGTCAGCTTTGTCACTATGGCCAAAGACAGCATCTCCCTTTTCAAGACTAAAAATCATCAGATAGACAGATAGATGGATGGACAGACAGGCAGACGGACAGATGATAGGTGGGTAGATGGACAGACAGATGGACATATGTATACATGTATATGCCACGTTTGCTTTATCTACCCACTTGGCGCTGCACCCTTTGGTTAATTCCACATCCCAGCCCTTATGAGTAATTCTGCAATGAGCACGCATGTGGAGATGCTGACTGCATTTTCTCTGGATATGTACCCAGGAGCAGGGTCATTAGATCGCCTGGTAGCGTCCTTATTTTCGACTTTGAGGGCACATACAGAACACGCCAGTACCTCAGGCTCAGTAAATATGAATTCTACTCTTTACTGTTTTTTTTTAGTTTATTTTTATTCATGTGTACATGTTCATATGCACATGTGCCTATGTGGACACACATGGTCAAGCAAAGGTCAATTCTAAGTGTCTTCCTCAGTTGCTCCCTCTGGGCACCTGGAGTGGAGGTGAACCTGATGCTCTCACTGAACCTGATGCTCACTAATTGGCTAGACTGGCTGACCACTGAGCCTCAAGAAACTGTTTCTTCTAAATTCTGCCTTTTTCATAAGTGCTGAGGGTGACAACTGAGGAGCCTTGATTGGCTGAGACTTCTCGTGTTTCTTTTATGCCTGTACCCTCCACTGTTCCTAGTTTGAGCTGAACACTTCAAGGCATTTAACACTGAATTCTGTGCTGAGGTAGATATGAAATCAGTAGGGTTTTGTGGTTGATTTTTTTTTTTTTTGAGACTGACTTTCACTGTGTAGCTCTGGCTGTCCTGGAACTCACTCTGTAGACCAGGCTGGACTCAAACTCACAGGGATCCACCTGTCTCTGCCTTGATTGAGTTCTGGGATTAAAGGTGTGCGCTGCCACTGCCCGCTTGTTGGTTTTTGGTGAATTCTACATTAAAACTGAGTCTTCCGGTTCCCTTTGAGAAGTTGGTACCATTCTGAAGAACTATAAAGACAGTGCTTGGTGACAGAATACTGAGGGGTGGACTGAGATCCTCAGACCCCTGAGGCCACAGAGCTGTTCCCAGGGTACTGATGACCCAAGCCTGAGGGCAGGTCTATCCCCTGGCAAGTTTCCCACTTCCTTCTGCTCTCTTCCCACAGGGGTCACTCCCCAGAATGGTACAGCAAAGGCTTCGGACACCTCTGCGCTGCTGAAGTCGCCAGAATTAGAAACTCCTTCCAGCCCCTCATTGCTGAGGGTCCAGAGACAAAAATCTGAGCTCTCCCCAGCGTGGTGTCAAACTCAGGGAACACGAAGAGGAATGAACGAACGCTCACCGTGTGTGGAGTGCACTGTCCCATGGGAACTGGTGGCCACGGACCATATTCCTAACCTGCCTGGAGATGGCTAATCCTTACTAATATAATGTCTTGGACATTTATCTGTTGCTTAAAATTAAATGGGGTTATTCCTTACATATTGCCTAATTTGCTATTTAAAGGCTTCTAAGAAGCGTTGTTTTAGCTGTAAATAAATGTACTGTAGCATTTGTATATGTGTGTGTATATCTCCCTTTGCTGTATATATGTAAAATACTGGTTTTATATGTAGTTAAGTGTCTGACTCTGTGAGTCTCCTCACATGGCACTTCCCAGGTTGCTGGAGACCCTGTGTCCCTACTGTCCTGCCAGCTGAGCAGAACCTGCTGCCAATAACCAAAGCGTGAAATGTGTCCTCTGTCGGTCTGCCCATGCTTACCCAAAGATTAGCTAGCCAAAGAATAATAGCATTATAAGCTTCTTCCACGCGCTGGCCTCTTATTTCTGATGTTTAAAAACTGGAGGGGGTGTTGAGATAAATTGAACGAAATAATATTTGCTTCTCTTTAACACAAAGCAGCAGGTAAGAGTTTGTCGCTAAATCCAAAGCTAGATTTTTTCATTGCCCTCTGGGCCCACTCTATGAAGTTTGAGTGGGATGTCAGGTGACCGTTAAGAGTTGGCACCAGGGACTGAAACAGAACTGGTACCACCACCCCCTCCATAGGGGCGAACAGCAGAGCCTGTCCACAAAGCCAAAGGGAGCCCCATGTCCTCTGGAGACTCAGATAATTCTCATAATGCTGTTTAGTGACCTATTTGACCAGTGGCCTACATGGCCACAGTTATTCAACATGTTCTTGCACTGACCTTGACTCTGGACACCAGACAAAGAGAGACGATGCTCCAAGTGTCCAGGGTCAACACAGCTTCAGGGAATTCATAGTGTCCTATATATGATGCTCTTAAAAAAATCTAATCTATTAAAAATCTTGCAATCTAAAAGACAGGGTTTTAAACTAACAGAAGACCAAAACTGTGTCGTTCGTCATTTGTACAAATTACAAGCAGATGTATCAAGCCCATGTTTTTCCATTATCCCGCACCGGCGCCTGTGCGTTTTACCCCAACCTTATTTATTATTGTACAGACTGAGCAAATCGGTGTTCCTGAACCATGTGAGAATGGCTTTGCTATTTTTATTGTAATGCAGCATCTATAGAGAGATAACTTATTATGTCTGCCGTCCAGGAGAAATTTTCTTAAGCTGTCTGGGCAGAGATTGATATCCTAATTCAGCAGCTGGTGTTGGAAGAAAAGCAAAAACAAATCTGTGCTTTCTGGGTTGTTGTATGACATACAGTGATGCGGTGTTTTCTGTTATCAGTGGTGTGCAATTGTTTGACTGGGAGGAATAAAGATGTTTTCTGTATGTGGTGTGGCACAAGGAAAAGCAGGGCAGGGATTTTGCATTCTCATGTCTACCTGGAAAAGGGTCGGCCAGACCAAGGGTCACCCACTGTCTGGGCAATGTTCTGTGGATTGGACAAATTCACTTCTGCCATTACATCATGCATGCCATGCTGGATGGCTTTTTATGTATTGGCAAGATTGTCAGTGGGACTTACTCCAGCTCAACACTGTTTCTGCTCCAGCGATGGGTACTATGCATTTGAAAGCAGAATGGGCACCCCGGGATGAATGGCATTGTTTCCCAGGGAACATCCTTACTTAGCAAGCACTGGGAACTACCCAAGACCTTGTTAAAATGCTGGGATCCAGGCAGTCTGGGTGGGCCTGACATTCTGTATTCCTAATGAGCCCGTGGGATGCAGGCTGCTGTCTCAACGACACACTTTGAGAAACAAGGACCCAGGGAATGCTTAAAACTGAATAAAATGATATGATTGTATTTCTCACCCCCTCTCTCTTCCAGCTAACCTGACTTTTGAATTTTATGCACATGCTAATCACATCACCTCTGCTAACCACAAAGCGCCTCTTTAAAATAAAGGAAAAGGGAGGGGAGAAAAATGATGCATCGAGCTTGTTTGTCAAGTACCACAGTATTTTATTCACTGTTATCTTGCCGATGGAAATAAAATATTTGCATTTAAATAGTATATTTATACCTCATGTATATTTTTACCTCAATTGTTGGTATCAATCATCAGTTGTAAATAATTGCCAAGGCAGATAAATTTATATACATTAAATATTTCCTATTTTCTATAAATTACATGTGGATTTTCATGATTCATTCTGTCAGCAGAAAGCATGCTTCACGAGGAATACTTCTCTAGAAGGGTTTTCCATGCGGTTGACTCCTTTGGCTCCAAATACAAGGATGTCAACAGACATTCACTGATAGGCTAGATGTTGAATGTCAGGGCTGGAGAGATTGGCTCTGTGGTTAGAGCACTGGCTGCTCTTCCAGAGGACTTGGGATCAGTTCCCAGCACCCACATGGTGGCTCTCAACTGCCTGGACCTCCAGGTGACCCAATGCCCACTTCTGGCTTCCAGAGGCACATAAACGCAGACAGACACAAACACATTAAAAAAGGAGATGATCTGGGAAAAGCTGGGGAAGGAGAATGAGTATAATGAAAATATCAAAATATATTACATGAAAAAAATGTAAAAATTAGTAAAATAATAATATAAATCTTTTTTGGAGACTAGGTATCTTGGTTCCAAGGCATCAAAGTAACATATATTTCAATGTTCTTTAATCTAGAGTCTGTTTGTTTTTGTGATAGGGCTTCCCTGCATAGCTCTGACTGTCCTGGACCTAGACCAGACTGGCCTTGAACTCAAAGAACCTGCCTGCCTCTGCCTTATAAGTGCTGAGATTAAAAGCGTGCAATACCACCACCCAGCTTAATCTGAAGGTTATAAAACAAATGTTTTATCTTAATCAAATACTAAACTTATTGGTTATGTTTTACATTTGTTAAGTGGACAGGAAATGAAACATGCATAGTCACAAATGACTCTGAACTTTATACCTAGCTAGTCCTTCAATAAAGAAATAAATTACTCTTAGCTAAGCAAGCATGCACTTCAGCCTGATTTACAGATTTCTTTATATTTATTTTTAAATTAATACATATGTGCATGCCTTCATGAATTTATGTGCAAATTCCTGGGTGGGGGGCTGTGTGCGTTGGGACCCCTAGAACTGGAGTTACAGAGAGCTGTGAGCCTGGAAAGTGAACTGCAAGAGCAGGAAGCACTCTTAACAACGGGGCCATCTCTCTAACCCCTCTACTCCAGGTTTTTAAAAGTCACAGCAGTGTAATGACATAGAGCCCATAAAAACATAGGATGCCACCCCTGCCATCCGCCCCCAGATATATGCATTACTTAGAGGTTTTACCTCCATCAGGAAAGGAAGAATTTAAAGTCCGTTTTCATCTTCAGAGTGGAGAATGACAGCACAGACTGCTTCTCCCTCTCACAACCACTAGGGTACAAAACAGTCACTGGGGAACACAGATCACGATGTGAGTTCTAACCTCTTTCTAAACACGAACTCCTGAGGCATCAAACTGTCTTTTGATATTTGGTCACAAAAGAAACAAACAAAGAAAAATCACTGTCAGCCATGAGTTCTCGGGGATGGAACATGAAGGATGAAAACAGGCACAACACCGCCCCCCCATCCCCAGACCAAGTGGAGTGTCACAAAAAAAAAAAAAAAAAAAAAAAAAGCTGTGCAGCCAAGAAGAATAAAACCTACTATTGAGTCACCACGGTGCTGGTGGAAAGCCCACAGATCTGTACAGCTGCCATCAGAGAATCCCAGGCACCAGGCCGTTCAGCAGCTCTGGCTCCCACGCTCCTGTACTCAGCTGATGCTTCCCTTCCCAGTACTGTAAAAGCGAGGTAGTCTCCAAAGAGAGTCACCACACTGACTGAAGAAATCTGGGTCCCCCCAGGATCCTTGGTCTTCATAATAAAAGAATTTAAGAATTAATTCAAGTAGTCACTTGAGGACACTTTAGAAAAACCCCAAGAAGGCAGCTATAAATCTCAGCAGCTGCCCCCCACCCGGGAGGTGAAGGTTGAAGGTGAGAAGATGGAGGGGAAAAAAAGAGAAAGAGCCATGGTTTTCTAAAGCTGGCTTGGAAGTCAGCCACTTGGCAGACAAGCAGCCACATTTTCTTTTTAGAGAAAAAGAAAAAAAAAATGTACCAGAGAAGGCATATCTAGGAAGAGTAAGAGAAGAGAAAGTTACAGTTTTCTGAGAGAGGAGCAGACCCAAGAGTACCCTATGGTGGCTCTGGAAGGACTGTGCTAGGGGCTGAGAATTCTTGGTAAGAAAAATACAGTATGTCATTCAGCGGCAATATGACCCCTCCTATGGGTTCAGCAAGGCTTAATTTAAGGTGGTCCTGCTTGGAGGGGAGGGGCTTAGCCAGGTGACTGACCCGCCTACCCAGAATGCCAGGCCCCTACCAGGCCAGTGATTCCATTCTATTTACTGCAAGGAGCTATCTCTTCCCCCATCAGCCTCTGCTCATCAGCACTGAATGGGAATGGAGCCATCTACAACTGGAGATAAAAACCAGCCAAGTAGGGCAGGCACCCCAAAGCGACCATTCCAAAGCTTTCCCAGAACAGAGTTCTGGTCCTCTGGTTTCCTGTGGTCTCTTACCCTTGCCTGGAATCCATGTGTAAGAGGTGACCTACTTAGAGGAGGTACCTGGCTGGGCCAACTGGACTGCCTGGCTTGTCCTCCTCCCCAGTTTCTGCCATAAGTCCCAATGGAACCTCACCCCTGTGGTTCTGCTCTCTGCCCACTCTCAATGGAACCTCACCCCTGCGGCCCTGCTCTCTGCCCACTCTCAATGGAACCTCACCCCTGCATCCCTGTAGCCCTGCTTGCTCTCTGCCCGCCTGCTCTTTCTCCCTTTGGTTCCCATCTATTGATCTATCATAACCGTCTTTCTGAAACTCGCCAACTGTGGCCTGTGAATTCTATTCTTCACATTAGCAAGACAAGAACCCAAAGGCCACTGACTCAAAGAAAGTTTTGTGAACGCAAGCACCCGGTCCCTAATTCTCGACTTAATGCCCATCTGAGTCAAGGGCAAAGGCCTCTACCAAACTCAAAGACACCACGCTTCCCATGCCAGGACACTTACAGGCAGACATGGCATAGAGATGGGACTGCACCATCGGTGCTCATTATTATTTGAGATTTTGTTTGTAAATGTTCTGCAAACCTTGCATTACTGAGTAACTGACTCGCTGCCCTGAAGGGGACATGGGACTGAGTTCCTCAGAGCCTCTGGTCACATTTGCCAATCCCCCAATAGCTAACCTTATTTGACTGTGTTTCTGATAAAGACATTAATCTTTCCTCTGTTGCCAAGCACCACGCCCCCGTGTCTGCGCTCTGTGCACTGGCACCCAGTTCGAGAGCTTTGGGCAAGGGCGGTGGAGGTTAAAATACACAGACACACACAGACAGAGAGACAGCAACACGGGTCATCCTTGAATTCCCCAAGAATGCCCCCTTTATTGTGTTCAGGGGCAGATTATATAGAGATAGCCACACCCCAGCCAAACCCACCAGAAACCACTCTCTTGCCATCAGGAACTCCTGAAGGTCTCATGCTCAGGGCAGCTGTAGGCACTCAGATCAGGGGATTACAAGAAATTCAGGATCTGGGGTCTCACTGCTCCCAACACTCTGTATACTAACTTTATCTGCAATATTTCTTTATTATAAAGCAAGTCAAGAAAAACTGGCCCTGACCAATGATCTAATGGGACTGTAAAATTCATGGCATGGGAACCCCCAAGTGGAACAAACCCAGTGCTGCACCATGCTGGGAAAGTCCTCCGCTCCTGCCCTCACCACCAGCCCCAGGTCCAGAAACAATGCTCTTCTTCCCGCACCTTTTGTATTTACGTGGTGATTTCAATAGGTTTGATCCACATAGACTGTGTTTGAATACTTGACCCATATAAACCTCTGAAACTGTAAGCCATCCCCAATTAAATGTTTTCCTTTATAAGAGTTGCCATGGTTATGGTGACTCTTCTCAGCAACAGAACGCTGACTAAGACAGTTTAGTTGGGTGGCTGCTTTGTTGTGATTTGTCTTGCTGTTTTTAGGACAGACTCAATAGCAGCCCAGTCTGGCCTTGAACTCTTGATCCTCCTGCCCAACCTCCTAAACTCTGTAGATACAGGTACATACCCCGAGACTTCCCTTATGACATTTCTTCAGCTTGATACACTGTCATCTCCTGAACCCACAAATCTGGCTGCTTTTCCACCTCTTCCTGTTGATTCTGGAGCAGCCTTGCTTCACGAGTTAGCGAACCTCCTCTTCTATTGTCGTGTTATGGTGCTGCTTTATTAATACTGAACTTGTGGCCAGCAACACCGGGACCTTAGTCTGTAGAGATTTGTAACTTTCTTTTTTAAAAAATATTTATTTATTTATTTATTTATTTATTATGTATACAATATTCTTTCTGTGTGTATGCCTGAAGGCCAGAAGAGGGCACCAGACCTCATTATAGATAGTTGTGAGCCACCATGTGGTTGCTGGGAATTGAACTCAGGACCTTTGGAAGAGCAGGCAATGCTCTTAACTGCTGAGCCATCTCTCCAGCCCAGATGTGTAACTTTCTGTGTAAGGCACATTATAACCTTGCACATAGCAACACCGGACAGCACTTTAGATATTTTGGTCACTGATATTACCACCAAAAAAGCACAAAAATGAGGCAGGGGAGAACAGCACTAAATAGAATATTGTAATAGGAGCGGAGGGGCTGCGTCCCCAGCACCCCGCCGCCCGCATGGCTAGCTTTACCCGAAATAATTACACGGACACTGTATTCTTTTAATCACTGCTTGGCCCATTTCTATCTAGCCTCTTCTAGGCTAACTCTCGCACCTGGACTAGCCCATTTCTAATATTTTATGTAGCACAGCTAGGTGCGCTTACCGGGAAGATTCTAGCCTACGTCCATCCTGAGTCGGAGCTTCATCGCCTGTGTCTGCCCAGGAGCCGGGAGCATGGCGTCTCTGCTACAGAGAGCAGAGCTGTCTGTCTCTGTCTGAGGCATCTTACCTCACTTCCTCTTCCTCCCAGCATTCTGTTCTGTTTACTCCACCCACCTATGTTCTAAGCTATGAGCCCAAGCAGTTTATTACTTAACCAATGAAATCAACAGATTGATATATGACACTCCCACATCAATAGAACACA